ACATTCATATACTCCAGCTTATGACATAAACTGAGGTGGCAGATACCCATTTGAACCTTCCTATCAAGCAGCAGGACACAATTAGAACAAGCCTCATTACAATGAACTGTAGCCAAAACAATGAATAGTGTTTCCATGTTCCAGATTTCCACTGAGACAAGCAGAGGTGGGAATGGAAACCACTCTTTGGAGCATCCCCTCACAGCTTGGGTTTTAGATGATGGAAACAGCTTCTCTGATCAACAGACATAACTGAGAGGCTTGGGTGATTCACAAATTTGTCCTCAAAGCCATGAGCCAAAAAGAGAACAAAAATAAATGCACAGTTCATATTCCAGGGCCCCAATGACCAAGGTAACATAATATGGGGACAACATATCTTAAATGGCATCATAATTCCTAGAGGGATCCAAAGGTATCTATATTTAGCTAACTGAACTTGAACAGGATCAAGGAACTGAACTTTCTTTTATGATCCTGATCCATTAGTTCACACCCCCTCCTCTCTCCCAATCCCAATTGTATATACCACCTCCCCTCATCCTAGATCCAAATAAATGGATTCTCTTGTCTCCTCTCATCTTGCCTTTAACATCATTCCAAAGGGAGTAACTCTTAGGACCCATGGCATACTCCATGCTTGCTTTAAGCACTCTTCGCATTGAGCCCAATCTACTCACTCCTTACCATCCATCCTGCCACCAACCACAGCCCTGTACCTACTAAACTAGGAGAAGGAAAAACTTAATTCTCTCTGCTAAGAAATTGTTTTAAACTATAATGGCCACAGTACAAAGAGTGGGGAGTCAGGACAATTTAATTAACTTTGTTACCCGGGGCAAGGTACTGCCATGTTTTGGGCCTCAGTTTCCTTTGCTGTAGGATAAAAGAGCTGGATCATATCAGAGGTTTTCAAGTGTGCTCCAGAGTCCTCTAATTTACCACCAAAGAAAGGGTGGCAGCTGCCAAAAGGCTTTGGGTGGACCTCCCTCCCTTTAAGCAGAACAGCTCTGAGCCTTTATTTTAAAAATAGGCTCTGGTTACCTTGAGACAGGGTTCCTCAGATTTGAACACTGCTTAGCATGGCACTTGGCACACAAGAGGCACTCACATCATTTAACGAATACAGGAAAACCAAAGGGACTGATGTGATCTCTAAGATGCCTTCCAGCTCTGACTTTCTATGGTTCCATGGCTACATGATACAATTAAGTGGTACCCTCTGCCTGTTTGTGAAGGTGCTGAGACTTCTCCTGCTTGTTCTTTCATTTTGAGGAACAAAAGTACGCTGTGGGGGCTGACTCTAGAAAATAATGCACGGTAGTCACTGGGTAAAAGGATTCAAATCAGTGAAAACAGGAGAACATCTTTGGCAAGTAGGAAAAAGAGGTCTATGTTTTAAACAATACCCAAGCCTGTGTTCTTGCTGAAGAATCCGGATACGGGAAAAATGTCAACATAACAGGTTAGTGACAAAAATATATACCCTTCAAAGATAATTAAAACATAAATAAAAGGGCCAAAAAATATCTTGCATCTCTTGAAAGTTTTCCTGAACATTATCACTACAAACACCCCAGGTTTGTAGGTAACAAGTTAAGATGACTTAGACTTACTCTGTGATCTTGGGGTCCAGGTTGCCAATCCATAACCGGTGCCCTTCCTGCAGGGAACCTTCAGAAAGGATGGATGCATTCTCCAGGGGAAGAGTTTTGGTTTCTGCTTCCATCAATCTCTATGAAATACTAAAGGAAATGTGAACATTCAGGCAGGAGAGGAGCAACACTCTGTGAACACCAGACTTTAAATTCAACTCAACAAACGTTTATTCAAGGAGGGCAAACTCTGACCAGTTCTTCAAAGGCCTCAACTATTCCACAACTGGCCCCAGCACCAGTTCCCTTGGGACAGCTCCTCTGGCAGCTGGAGTGCAAAAGCTTCCATTTAAGGTGAAAGGGATATGGTTCTACATGCAGAAACTAAAGTTTTCCTCTTCTGAAGCAGGAGGCAGACTGGGCAGGAGGCCAAAGTCTCTATTACTACATGATACTTCAGTTTAGCAACTGTTACCCAAAATAAGTCTTAGAAATCACCAGAAAGAAGACTCTTAATGGCACTGAAGGAGATGAGTGGGAAAGAGCAACATAACATGTTTTCCTCACAGACAAGACAATCTAGGAAATTTAAGGCCCTAGATTTTGGAGGTAGAACTCGATTTTAAAGCTGGTTGTGGGTTTGGTGAATTCCCTGAACATTCTGGGAATGTTCTCCTGTTTCCTCATCTATACTATGAATGGAGATAACAGTTCTTATCTTAGAGGGCTGTTGTGAAGATCAGAGAGAGTGCATGAAAAATCATTAGATACTGCATCTAACAGCAGTAAGCAATCAGTAAGTGTTCACTAGCATCATATTATTTTGGGAGACTCGGAAGAAGAGATTAACTCCTCCACAGTCATTCTAGTTGCACCATTTACTAGCTGTGTAACCTTGCTCAAGTTACTCTGCTGTTCTGTACCTCAGTTTCCTCATCTCTAAAATGGAGTAACATCTCATCAAAGTTGTGCAGATTCACAGAGTTCACACACCCAAAGCATTAAGAACAATGAATGGCACCTAAGAAGCTTCTAATTAATGTTAGCTTAAATTATTACTAGCCTTCCATCCTGAAAAGACTCATCTCACAACCAGAAAAGGATGATGAGGGTTATGATGGAGACAATAGTGGCAAGAGAAAAAACTTGGGTGTCAAGAACACCTGGTTTCAAATTTTGGCATTTCCAATGGGAGTCACTTTCTCTCTAAGCTTGTTCCCTCATCTCTACATACTAAACCTTGGCCTGCTTGTAACTTAAGGTTGCTGAGAGGGCCAAAAATGAGATGGCAGATGTATAATAAAGCTTTAACAAGTACAAAATGTGGCAGAGAAAGAAAAAAGACCTGGGAAGATGGCAGGTTGTGCCAGACTTCGGAACTAAGAATACACATAGGACCCATGTATATTATGTAACCAGGAGTGCCCCAGAGGTCAGTGCAGCAGGAACTGTGTTTTAAAAACTAGTGACATAGACTGAACACTGCTGTTACCTCCTATTTATCTCAGCACAGCTTATGAAGTCTGGCACAAGGTGGGCCCTTAAGTACTTGTTGAACGTGTTTATCTAGCCCCACATGGGAGAGTATTCTTCTTCCTTTCCCACTCACATGTTCATTCTGTTCAGCAATGCATAATAAACAACTGCTAAACCCAGGGCTATGTGCCGAAAACAGATATATATGTAAGCTACAGATTTCGCTCTTACCTCCTGAGAGAAAGGTGAAACACACATAAACAGAATCCCAGGAATGGAAAAACAGGAGGAGAAACGTTTTGTCTTCTCCTTGCTTTCCTTTCCTCCCATTTTCCTACAGATCACTCATTCATTTAAAAAGAAAATCGAGTATCTATTTCTAGTCCTTGTCTAGATACTGGGGACAGAGCAGTGAACAAACAAGTCTCCACTAGGGATGCTTATATTGGAAGTCGGGCAGGACAAAACAGAAGCAAAATAAATAAACAAGATGTAATTAGTGACAGCTGCAAACACCATTAAGCAAGGTGATCTGACATGGAGACGGAGGCTGGACTACTTCAGAATTAGTGGAAAGGGAAGGCCTCTCTAAAGGACCTAACATTTGAGATCACGCTTCAATGACAGGACCTCCTGATTTTCTCATGTCTGAAAAAAGGCGATACCACCAGCTACTTATTATCACAGGAGGGTACCATGTTTTGATGCTACGACGAGTACAGGATATGGGGCCAAAAGATTTGTATTCAAATCCTGGCTTTTGCATCCAGTTACTGCATGACTTTAGTTAAGTGTCTTCTCAGAAAAGCTCTCCCCAAGGGTTGAGCTCCTTGTTAGTGTCTATCAAAGCCACCTTTCTTTCCATATAACGCCAATTCAATGTGATTTACTATTCTATCTTCCCTTTCCCTCACCAGAATGCAAGCTCCTAGAGGGCAGGGCCTTGCCTATCCTGATCAGAGTTCTACCCCCAGCACTCAGTACACGGCCTGGCTCACGGCTGGTGCTCAATATTTACTAAATAAGGCTCCACTTGGAGCTTCCACTCCTTCTTCCTTTCTAGGATGGGCCCAATTATCCCCAACTCATGGGTCGTCGAGAGGTTTAAATAAGACAGTATGGGGGGGGGGGCAGCCCGGGTGGCTCTGCGGTTTAGCGCGACCTTCAGCCCAGGGCGTCATCCTGGAGTCCCGGGATCGAGTCCCACATCGGGCTCCCAGCGTGGAGCCTGCTTCTCCCTCTCCCCCTGCCTGTGTGTCTCTGCCTCTCTCTCTCTCTCTGTGTGTGTCTCTCATGAATAAATAAATAAAATCTCCAAAAACAATAAAAGTAAGTAAGACAGCGACAGCTCAGCACAGGGCCTTTTGAGGAACGGCAGGCAGGGTGTAATGAGATCAAGAAGGCGTGCGACTATCAAAGTCTTTTAGGTCTGCAACGGCGACAACTCCCTAGATTAAAAGTGCTCGCACCGCGCTGTTACATCTACGGTCGCGGCTAACCTGCAGCAACATGAAAGGCAAGAACGATCATCCGGGGGAGCTAAAGTCCGGAGGAGCAAAGCCACCTGTTCCTGAAGCTAAGGGTCACGGCAGGATCAAGCCTGGAACCCCGACTTCCCGATCCCTGGCCGCGAAGTCCCAGACGCGACGGGTCATTTCTCGGGTCGCTATTTCCGGGCTAGCGGCGGGACAATCCGGGGCGGGGCCTGAGAAGCCGCCTTGCGAGGGCAGCCTCCTCTGTGAGTCCCTCGCGGGGCGGGCTCTGGGGTGCAGGGGCGCATCGCGACCGGACGTACCTCGTGGTCTCGGCGTCGTCCCCTCGGCTCATGCCCCAGAAGCAGGTCCCGACTCCGCGGCCCGACGGCCCTCCAGACGCGTCCGCCTCAACACCGTCCGCTGCCAGGCCGCCGGTGACGCGCTACGCCTGCGCCGCCGCCCCGCCCCGCCCCGCCCCGCCCCGTGACGTCATGGCGCCTGCGCCGCCGCCGTCCCCGCGGTCGCGTGGGTCTTTTCCTAGTACCTGGGGCGATAGCTGGTGAGTGGACTCTGCGCGGCCTGGAGGCGCGCGCTGGGCCCTGGTGCCAGAGGCTTCCACTCAGGGGGTTCTGGGGGACCCGAGGGGTTCTGATCGCCGTCCCCCGGCCGGTTCCATGCGAGTCCGGCTTGATCTTCAGGGCTAGGGGCGGGACCTGTCGCTTCCCAGAGTGTCATGGGGGTGGGCCTGGGGCTCGTCTCTTCAGCTAGGCGTTTCGTGGATGGCGGAGGGGAGGGACCTTACTCCACAGCAGCCACTTCGTGGTAGCCCACCATTCGGCAGGAACATTTAACTTTCCCGTGGGAGTAGGTATTGCTACCACCCCACCTTCCGTGACGAAGAAATGGAAGCTCAGAGAAATGACTACCGGGGTCATAGGGCCGGGAGGTGCTGGAGCTACCTTGCAAAGCCTCGACTTTTAACTGAGGAACGGTTGTCATTGCAGTAGCTGTTGCCTATTAGAGCGTTTCAGCAGCACTCCTCTCATTCGATCGTCCTGACAAACAGTACTGTCATCCACATTTTACAGATGAGGTTGAGGTCACATATCTGGGAAGTGCTAGAGCCAAGTTTGGTGTCGTTTTCTTTTCACTCGAGGCTATCGCACTGCCCAGAACCTAGTCTGACCTTTCATTTCACGGTCGAGGAAACACAACCTAGGTAGGGGAAACGATTTGATACAGGTCACGTATCGGTGGTAGAGCTGCCACAAATGCTTTTTGAGGACAGATGATTTTGAGTCTCTAGAGGATTGGTTGGCAGGGAGTGATGAGATAGGAATATTGGGATCCATACCTTCGAGCTGTTAGGCAAAAGCTCTTTTCCCACCTGTTAAAGTGTCTTATCCTCCTTTGGCTACGTCAGGGACATGATTCCATACGATAGTCATGATACTATGAATAGTCAGATACCATATAGTCAATTGCTAGGAATCACCTTTACAAGGCACTGACTGCTTTACAAGGCACGGAATTTAGAGAGCATACCCTGCTATCTATACGAAAAATCTGGCAAACCAAGAGATCATTGAAGCACTATTGAGAAGTAGAACGCAGGACCTTCACTCTGAGGCTCAGATCCCAAATCTTGCACCATAATTGTGAACTTGGGCAAGGATTTACTCTTTCTAGACTCTCGTGTATTCATCACTTGTATTCAGTCTCTTCTGTGTTCAGAGACTGTGCTGGGTACTGGAGGTACGGCAATGAACAAGACAACCATAGGTCGGTCCTTGGGACGGTTATAGTCTTATGGGGGGACTTAGGCAATGATCAGATAACTACACAAATATTAGCTGATAAAGTTGAACTGCTATTAAGAAGTACAGGGTGTTAATGAAAGTGGGCTACGGGACATTTGATCTAGTTGAGCTGGAGGGGATGGCCAAAGAAGGCATTCTTTGAGAAGCAATGCTTAAGCTGAAATCTGAAAGAAAAATGGGAGGTAGTTCATTAAAGAGGTGGGGGAAGATCATTTCCAAGCAGATTCAACTTCAGCGGTATGTTTGAAGACCTAGGAGCAGGAGGAACATTCCAGGAAATGAAAAATCAGTGTGCTTATTTGTAAAGTGTGGGTGGTAATCACAAATCTGGTTATTGAATAATACATGTGGAAGTATTTTATATACAGCAAGGGCCCGCACCGGTGTTTATAAAAATGTGCATATTATAAGCTAATCTACAGCTGGATTGGGAGAGGTTGCTGGGACAGTGGATAAGCGATGGCTTTTTGTCCTTCATCTAGTTCTTTCCAAAATTAAAATACACCTTCTGTGGAAAACAGAGAAAGTCAAGTTTTGAGAATCTTAACTTTGGAAAGACATTATGTGCTTCAAATAGCTTTAGAAATTACTTCAGGGGATCCCTGGGTGGCGCAGCGGTTTAGCGCCTGCCTTTGGCCCAGGGAGCGATCCTGGAGACCTGGGATCGAATCCCACATCGGGCTCCCGGTGCATGGAGCCTGCTTCTCTCTCTGCCTCTCTCTCTCTCTCTCTCTCTCTCTCTCTCTCTCTGTGACTATCATAAATAAATAAATTAAAAATAATAAAAAAAATTACTTCAACAGTTTGAATAATAATGTCAGTAATTGCTGTGCATGTTTCATATACGTAATAGCATAATATAGTGGTTAAGAGCACAGACTCTGGTATTAGATTTCCTGAAATCTAATAATGGGCAGATTGTTTATCTGTGCCTTTGTTTTTTCATCCATAGAATGGGTATGCTAATAATAGTTATTTCATAGTGTATCATGAGGCTCAAGTGAGTTAACCTGTGCAGTACAGCACTGAGAATACTTTCTGGCACTGTAGTTGGTAACTCTGTAAGTGTTGGCAGTTGTTTCATTGTTATTGTTATAATTATCCTTTTTTTTTATTTTTGAAAGATGTTATTTATTTATTCATGAGAGACACCGAAAGAGAGGCAGAGACACAGGCAGAGACACAGGCAGAGAGAGGAAAAGCAGGCTCCATGCAAGGAGCCTAATATGGAACTTGATCCCAGGAATCCGGGATCAGACTCTGAGCCAAAGGCAGACGCTCGACTGCTGAGCCACCCAGGCATCCCTATAATTTTCTTTTTCTTTTCTTTTTTAAATTATCTTTTTAAAAGCTCATTAATATCACCACGATTGGGGTGACTGGGTGGCTCAGTTGATTAAGTGTCTGTCTTCAGCTCAGGTCATGGTTCTGGGGTCCTGGGATCCAGCCCCATGTTGGGCTCCCTGCTCAGGAAGAAGCCTGCTTCTCCTCCCTCTACCCCTCCCCTCTGCTCATGCTCTCTCTCTTTCTCTCTCTCAAATAAATAAAATCTTAAAAAAAAAATCATCATAGTTAAAATGGGGTACAAACTAGCTCAGAGAGGCTAAATGATCTACCCAGGATCACACAGCTAGTAAGCTCACAATTCCAGTTCAATACTGTATCCAAAGCCCATTGACTTCCTGGCACATTTTTTTTCTGAGTATAGGTTAATTTTGTAGTATAATACTTGGACTCCCATGACAGTTCCTTTCCTTGACTTTAATACTTCTGTGCTGAACTGTTAATATGCATGTCCTTAAAGTAAAGGGCCTAAGGGACTGCCTGTATTGAACTTCCACTTTGAAATTTCCTGACCTCTGTGCAATTAAAATCTACTCCTAAAACATTTCAGCAATGTGGTTTATTTATAGAGTTGTCTTCCGTTCACATGTACTGGGTCTGCTTTTGGGTGCTGCATTTTCTGTCAAAAGTTGTTTATTTCTAACCCATTTTGATTTCCTGTTGCTTTGCAGATTGGTACTATGACCTGCAACAGGAATACCAGGAAACCTGTCTTAAATGGAGCAGCCAAACTGAAACCCTGTAGATTAAAAAATAATAATAATAAAATAAAGCCCACATTATTATACAGCCATATTTGGATATAAGTGTGGGTTAGGCATTGGCTATCTTAGAAAAATCTAGATATAGAAACCACACTTAGAGCCAAATTTTGTGAACAGTTTTGCCAAGATAGGCAGAGCTCTATAGTTTCATGCTCTTGGACAGTGACTCTTGAGCCTCAGTTTCTACATCTGTAAAATGGGGATTACTATACTTTGTAGCATTATTGGGAGGATTAAGTGAAATATATACAGGTAAAGCAAGCAGCTTGGGCCTGACTTCAATTTATAGTAGCTATTGATAGTAATTAAAGAAGAGGAAAAGATACTTCTTGATTTTTTTAATCCAGATTTACTTTGACCAACTTTGTATACTAATCACTGCCATCTAGCATCCCTTGCTATTAAAAATTCCATCAGGAGAAAAAAGAATTCCATGAGGAGAAATTATTTGCCTTTGCTCTATTCATTTACTTTTCTTTTAAGAAATAAGGATAATGATAGCTAGCATTTATTAAGCAGGTATTATATCCCTGGCACTGTGCTAGGTGTTTTGCATACACATACTATTTCATTTTAAGATCAAGATTCTTTTTCTTGTTTTGGAGATGAAGAAAGGGATGCCCAGATAGGTGGAGTGAATTGCCCAAAGTTGAAATGTGCATCCAGATCTGATTGACTAAGCTATCTTGTACATTAGCAATGACATGCAAGATTTCTTTATTGTATCTGACTTTTCTTGTGTGGGAGTCTTTTTGAAAGGAAAGGTGATAGCTATGAACATATCCTTTCTGGGGGGCTCCTGCTGTCATCTGGCACTGTGACAATTATTTTACCTGCATAAACTCATTTATTCTACCAACCCTGAGAAGTAACTCTAATTATCCGCATTTTACAGTTGAGGGAATCAAGTGGCAGAAATGTTCAGGAGCATTTAGTCAGTGATGGAGCTTGCATTGGATTCCAGGTCTTCCTGGCTACAGAGCACATGCTCTTACGTAGTTCTACTGCATCAACATTTTAGAATGGGGCTTTTTTTTTTTTTTTATGAGGTGTAGGACAGATTTTCAAAGATAGTAGCTTTCAGGCATTTGATGCGAATTGTTCTCAGTTTTAACTGAGTGATAGCCAGATTCCTGGCAGATGCTAGCTGTAGGCTCCAGCATCTTTTCATGGTCAGACCTTAGATGTATAATGTGTAACTTGTGTTAACACAGAAGAGAGTGGCATTTTCCAGAGCTTTAAATCTATAACATGGAAGACCTCAAACCTCAACCATGCTTCAGACTCACATTAAAGTGCATTCATTCTAATTGGTAATCAGTGCATAAGGAACCAAGGAAATTTTTTGTTAAATGCTGTCGTGTGAATTTTCCAGTCATTTTATGCCTGTTGAAATGATTTTTTTTTAATTTAGGTTAAAGTCGTCTTCAGTGTTCTGCCCTCCCTCTTTATAGTATAACTTTATCAAGATTTTTTTGCCTTTTTTTCCTGTAAGGGTTTAATTAGCATCATTAAAGACTTAGGCTGCTGCACATTTACTTACTCTGTGTTCCCTGTGTACCATAAGAGGCATTTGGTACAGTAGTAAGAGCCTGGTGATTTGGAGTCCTTTAGACTGTGGGCAAGTTGCTTAAATCTCTGTGAGCCTCAATATCTTCATCCTCTGATATGGGACTAATCATATTTCCTCAGATGGCTGATGGGAGGAGATAATATATTTAAACTGCCTAGCACATAGCTCAGTTTGCAGGGGTTGCTTGATAATTGGTACAAAATATTTTCTGAAGTTGCATCATAGTCTCTTTTACTTAGATCTCCTTTTTGTCTTATTTTTTTTTTTTTAGTGAATGTTCACAAGTATTGTCTTCAGTCATGGCCTTGGGTTTAAGATGCTTCCGCTTGGTCCGCCCTGTCTTTTGTAACTACCTTGCAGCCTTGACCAGACCTATTTCGGAAGGGACACTGAAGACAGTGAGTGGAAGACAAAATGACCATGAGCAATCCATGGCCTCTCCAGCTCTACCAGTCCGTCATTTTGCTACCAAGAAAGCCAAAGGTAGAGATATATGATTATCATAGCTGGAAGGGATCTCCGAGAGATACTGAATTTCTCTCCTTGTAGAAGAATGATGAGATGGTGTCTCAGACAGTGGAAATGATCAGCTTAAAAGATACTACAGTGGCAGAGACAGTGGTAGAACCGAGGGTCTGTTTGCTCATTACTGTGCTGCCTCCTAGGTTACCATTGCGTATAAAAGGTCTGATTTCCTTCTTTTAGTTTTAGAATCAGAGATATAAGTGCCAAGCAAATCAGACTATTTGTGGCAGAGATCAACGTATTTTCTCCTTATAGGAAGACCTATGTTGGAAGTAAAATTAAAACCAGAAGTTTGTTGGGTTAGGAAGTTTTAAAGCCATGGATTTAGATGGATGATCTTAATGGTTTGTGTCATCCAAGAATGAAACTTTGATATACCGCAGCTCTCAGCTTAAATGTCGCTTCCTCATGGAAGCCCCCTCTGACCTCTTGGACTGGGTCAGGTCCCTTGTTACGTGCACTCAGATGCACTGTTATTTTACCTTTGACGTCCTTAGCACAGCACCCATTAATTAATCAATTAATTGTAAGATTAATTATTACTTGTTGTATGTCTTGTATGCCAGACCCTATGAGGTTAGGATCTGTATCTTGTTTAGTACCTAACAGGGCCCAACACATAGTATTGTATCAAAAAATGTTGAATGAATGAATGGAGTGACAGACAATAGTCAGACATACCAGCTATTTGCAGTGGTGGGTCAAGGAGTCTGTTCCCAAGGATGGTGCTGGGAATACGCTGCTGACTATTTTTTCCACTGACTTTGCTTTTATCATTTCATATGGACCTTCCTTTTTCTATTAATGGAAAATGAACAAGTTACTGAAAGAGCATTAATACTTAGAAGACTTACATTCTGTTAATACTGATAATGGCAACAACTTTTCATCTGTATGTTGCACTAATGTTTTTAAATTCACATATTTAATATGTTGATATTTTTAACTACCCAGTGAAAGATTTATAATTATCCAGTGAAGAACTTTTTATAATTATCTCGTGAAGCACAGATCTCACCATTTGCCAATGAGGAAGCTGAGGTGCCTATGTAAGATGTTTGTCCATGGTCCCATCTAGTTAGTGGCAGAACTGGAAACGGGGTGGGTGGGCTCCTGATACACACAGCATCATACATGTTAGCAACAGCATGTAAGCAGCATCTTTTCAAATTTAATTGGCTATTAGTTTTTATGTTTTTTTTGATTGCCTCTTTAAAAACTCAGTTGTTTGACTTTTTGCTTTTAGATTTATTGGATTCTTACTGTGTTAGGAATGAGAGTACTCCGTAGATTGTATGTTATAACTGTCTGCTTTATTTTTTTACTTAATGATATCTTTTATTGAGCATAAGCTTTATTTTATTTTTTATTATTATTTTTTTAAAGATTTTATTTATTTACTCATGAGAAACACAGAGAGAGGCAGAGACACAGACAGAGAGAGAAGCAGGGTCCATGCAGGGAGCCCAATGTGGGACTCGATCCTGGGACTCTAGGATCACAGCCTGGCTGAAAGGAGGCGCTCAACCACTGAGCCACATCTTATGCTCAGGCATACCGAGCATAAGTTTTAATATGGTCAGATTCTTTAGTCCATTCTTTTATCATTTATACATTTTATGTCTTATTTAACAAATCCTTACCTATCCAAGGTCATAAAGCTCTTCTATATTAATATAAATAATATTTATATTATTTATAATATAAATATTATTAAATATCTTAGAGAGTTCTACTTTTCATGGATTTTTAATCTATATGGAATTTATTCCTAAATATGTTGTGAGGTTGGGAATGTAATTTTAAGTTTCTTTTTTTTTTTAAATTTTTATTTATTTATGATAGTCACAGAGAGAGAGAGAGAGAGAGAGAGAGAGAGAGAGAGAGAGGCAGAGACACAGGCAGAGGGAGAAGCAGGCTCCATGCACTGGGAGCCCGACGTGGGACTCGATCCAGGGTCTCCAGGAAAGCGCCCTGGGCCAAAGGCAGGCGCCAAACCGCTGCGCCACCCAGGGATCCCTAAGTTTCTTTTTTATAACGGGTGATAAGTTATGTCAGTATCACGTGTTGATTAGCCCATTCTTTATTCCTCTGTAGCATGTCAAGTTTCTTTATATGTATTTTATTTCTGAGCTCTTAATTTTGTTGATTACATATCTCTCCCTACACTAAATTCATTTCTACCTGAATCACTGTTATAAAGTCTTAAATCTAGGGGTACAAATCTTTCCCTTCATCCTATGCACAACACTTTTTCATTTTCTTCTTTCTGGCCTTTTGCTCTTGTAGATGAACTTTATAATCATAGTGTGAGTTTTTCTCTATAAAGATTTCTGCATGAACATTTCTTTGATCAGGTTTATTTCTGGGCAGTCATCATTTTGGTCACATACATATATTTTTAAAGTAAATTTTTGAGTTATATACGCAGGAAAGTACACACGTAAATTGTAAGTGGTTACAGGTCAGAGAATTCTCATCAAATGAATCACAGCCTTGTAGGTGGCACCCACATCAAGATACAGAACATCACTCAGACTCTGGAAGCTTCCCACACGTCCCTTTTAGTTGTCACCCTTCAAAAGATAACCCGTTTTATTGACTTTAGCATCATAGATTAGAATTGCCCTTTTTAAGTCTGGCTTCCTATGTGCCTGGCTTCCTTTGGTAGCAATCTATTTGTGAAATTTGTCTTTATTGTTGCATGTAGTAGTTGTTTGTGCATTTTACTTTCTTTATGGGATCCTAGGGAATGCTTACACCACAACTTGTGTATGCTTTCTGTAGTTGATGGGCATTTGAGTTGCTTCTGGTTTTGAGCTAAAATAAATAATGCTACTGTGAACACACTTGTATGTGGCTTTTGGTGCCCACATGAATAATTTTCTGTTGGTGTACATATACCAAGAGGTGGGAACTCTGAGTCTTTGAGGATGTGTATATTCAGTTTCTGTACATACAGTTCTCCAAAATGGTTGTGCCAGGGCACACCCCTACCAAAAATGTTTTTGCTTTCCCTTTGCTCCACATATTTTTGAACACTTGGTATATAGTCAGTCTTTTTATTTCTAGCCATTCTGATGGGTGTGCAGTTATATCTCATTGTGGTTTTAATTTGTAATTTCTTGATGGATAATGATTAGATAATAATGATTAATAATAATGATTAGATAATCTTTACATTTGTTTATTGGCTCTTTGTTTATCCTTTTTCCAGTCTTTTGCCCATTTAAAAAAAATTGATATGTAGGAGTTTTAAAGACTTCTGTCATACATATGTATTGCTGACATGCTTGCCTTTTCACTCTTAATGGTGGTTTTTGATGAACAGAAGTTCTTAATTTTAATGTCCAATTTATCAAGCTTTCCTTTATGGATAGTGCTTTTTTTTTTTTCTGTTTAAGAAAAATTTCCCTACCTTAAGGTCATGAGTATATCTATGGTATTATTTTTATGGATGATTTGTTGTTTTAAATTCATATCTTTTAAAGATTATGTGTTCTGTTAGGTTGCTGGTTAATAGGAACACTTTTGGTTATTATATACACTGGTGATGTGTTTTGCAACCTTGAGCTCTGTTATTAGATCTATTGTTTGTATGTTCTTTTGGATTTTCTAGGTAATCATAATATCTGTAAATAATGATAGCTTTGTTTTTCCAATCCATAGACCTTTCTAATTCATATACCTTTTCTTTTTCTCCTTCCCTCCCCCCCCGCCATTGACTAAGAACTCTTTTTTTTTTATTATTATTTATTTATGATAGAGAGAGAGAGAGAGAGAGAGAGAGGCAGAGACACAGGCAGAGGGAGAAGCAGGCTCCATGCACCGGGAGCCTGATGTGGGATTCGATCCCGGGTCCCCAGGATCGCGCCCTGGGCCAAAGGCAGGCGCTAAACCGCTGCGCCACCCAGGGATCCCCGACTAAGAACTCTAATATAAGTTGAATAAATGTGACTGATGATAGTAGGCATCCTTATTACATTTCTGACTTTACAGGGGACACATCTCATATGTTAACATCAAGAATTATGTTTGCTTTATTTTTCAGTAGTCTCTTTTGAGCAAATATCTTTTGTCCCTATTTTGTTAAGAATTTTTGTTTTGAATGAGTATTAAGTTTATCAAATGCTCTTACTGCATTTATTGAGACGGTCATCTATTTATTTTTTAATCTGTTAATGGGGTGACTCAACATCAGTAGCTTTCTCTGATGTTAAACCACTTAAAAAAATTTATTTATTTATTCATTCATTCATTCATTCATTCATGATAAACAGAGAGAGAGAGAGAGAGAGAGAGAGAGAGGCAGAGACACATGAGGAGGGAGAAGCAGGCTCCATGCCGGGAGCCCGACGTGGGACTCGATCCCAGGACTCAGGATCGCGCCCTGGGCCAAAGGCAGGTGCCGAACTGCTGAGCCACCCAGCCCAGGGATCCCCTAAACCACTTTTGATACATCATTTGTATGTACATTATTGGATTTGGTTTGCTAATATTAATTTAAGGTTTTTGAGTCTATACTTTTATATGAGATTAGCTTTAATGTAACTCTCTGATATTGAGGAATGTAACTTTCTAGCATTATCCTTGTCAGGTTTTGGTATCAAGACTGTATTAGTCCCATAATGTGAGTTGGGAAGTTCATCTCTGTCTCTGTCTCTCTCACAGTGGGATGGTGATAAGATCAGGATTAATTGGTTCTTCACATGATTGGTAGAATGTGCGTGTGAAATCATCTGGACCTGGTATTATATGTAGACAGACTTTAAATCATATTGTTTCTTTAATGATTATGATTTTCTCTTTTTTCTTCATTTAGTTTCAGTAAATTGTATATTTTCAGGAAACGTTTCATTATTTCTAAGTTTTCAAAGCTGTTGGCATAAAGTTGTCCATAATAGTCTCTTAAGATTATTGAAATCTCTAATGTTTTGGTAATGGTCTCCTCCTGTTCTTTCTTAATGTTATTGATTTCTCTACTTCCTTTTCTCCCTCATTTATTCTTGACAGAAGTTTGTCAGTTTCATAGCCTTTTAAAAAAGAGCTTTTAATTTTGGTGATCTCTTTTTAGTTTTATTGATTTCTGCCCTTTATTGTTTATTTTCTCCCATTTCCTTCTTTTTCTATCCTTTGAACTGGACAGTTCATTAATTTTCAACCTTTGTTCTTTTCTTATAAGCATATATAGCTATAAACTTCTATCTAAATACAACTTCATGGGCAGCCGCGGTGGCTCAGCAGTTTAGCACCTCCTTCGGCCCAGGGCCTGATCCTGGAGACCCGGGATTGAGTCCCACGTCGGGCTCCCTGCATGGAGCCTGCTTCTCCCTCTGCCTGTGTCTCTGCCTCTGTGTCTTGCTCTCTGTGTCTCTCATGAGTAAATAAATAAAATCTTTAAACACATAAATAAATAAATAAATAAATAAATACATACATACATACATAAATACATAAATAAATACATACAACTTCAGGTGCCTCCTAGAAGTTTTAGATATATAGTATTTTTATTGTTTTTTTTCTAAATATTTTAAATTTTCATTGTGTGTTTCTGTAGTCCATGAGTTATTTGAAAGTGTTTAAAATTTTTCAAGCATATGTGTTTTTGGAGAGTTAGCTTAATCCTACTGAGATCAGAGAATGTGTCCTATTATAATATTCTTTGATATTTATTGAAATTTGCTTTGTGGGTTAGAACATGGTCATTTTGTATAAAGGTCCAAGTGTGCTTGAGAAGAATGTGTATTCTTTTATTGCTGGGTATAGGATTGTATATGTGACCATTAGATTGAGTTGGCTAATTTTGTTGATCAAAGTTTCTATTTTTTTTTATTTGCTCAATTTATCAGTTATGAAGAAAGGTATTTTGGATGTCCTTGTATGCTTGTAGATTGATCAGTTTCTCCCTTTAATTCTATTAATTTTTTGACTATGTAAGGGGGTATATTTAAGCTCAAAATTGTAATATCTTTCTGGTGAATTGATTTCTACTGTCATTGTGAAATGGTCTTCATTTTTTCTAATAATGCATTTTGTCTTAAAATCTATTTTTAGTTACTAATATAATTGCATCGGCCTTCTTTTGTTTAATATTTGCCAGGGTTATAGTTTTTCCATTCCTATACATTAAATTTTCTATAATCTCACGTTTTTGTAAATCTTCTTATATATCATATATGACTAGATTTAAAAAGTTCTTTTTTTTTTTAAAGATTTAAAAAGTTCTTATTGATAATCTCTAACTCTCTTCTTGGTCTGTTTATATTTATTGTGATTACAGGCATTTGTATCTGTCATTTTATTTTGTACTTTATCATAGTTTTTTAGTTTCTTTTTTTCCTCTCCTTTCCATTGAATTAATCAAATTTCTTTATTTCTCTTTTTTCATGCTTGCTGATTTGGAAGTTGCACATTTTATTTCTTATTGTCTTAGCAGTTACCCTTAATTTCTGTTTTTAACTTTTTATAGGAATTAAAAGCACCTATAGAAAAATGCAGCTATCATAAGAAACATAAGATAATTTTCACAAGCTGAAAACACTTGTATAATCAGCATTCAGATCAAAACCCAGAACATTCCCCAGCATGTCAAAAGTCCCCTTTATGCTCCCTTCTAGTAACTTCCCACCTTCTACTACTTGTAAGTAACTATTATTCTGACTTCTAATGGCATGGATTAGTTTTGTCTGTTGTACTGTGTATTCTTGTATCTGGCTTTTGTACTGCACACTCTATATTCTGGTGTCTAGCCTCTTTGCTCAATGTTATGTTTGTGAGAGTCAGTTTCTTCTGTGTAGTTGTAGATCTTCTTTCTGATGGCTGTATACTATTTCAGTCATATTATCCATTCTAATATTGATGGGCAGAACTTAAAATTTTTAACATGCATTCTTAGTTTAAGAAAAATCAAAAGTTGAAGATCTTATTTCCATCGTTTCTAGCTCATGTTGTTGTTCTTGGAGAGTCTGCTGTTATTCTGAATTTTGATCCTTTATGGATCACTTGTCTTTTATCTTGGGCTATTTTCAGGATCTCTTTGTCCTTGCTTTTCTGCATTCACAGGATGTCTAGGTATGAATTTACTTTTATTATCCTACTTGGAACCTGTATTTCTAAATCTGAAGATTCTCATCTTTCATCATTTCTGAAAATTTTAAGCCATCATTCTGTTAACTTAAGAGCAATAAGGTTTCGGGGATCCCTGGGTGGCACAGCGGTTTGGCGCCTGCCTTTGGCCCAGGGCGCGATCCTGGAGACCTGGGATCGAATCCCACGTCAGGCTCCCGGTGCATGGAGCCTGCTTGTCCCTCTGCCTGTGTCTCTGCCTCTCTCTCTCTCTCTCTGTATGACTATCGTAAATAAATAAATAAAAAATTAAAAAAAAAAGAGCAATAAGGTTTCAAGCACAGTGATGGTACAAGCAAATACATATTTTTTTTAAAAATCACTCTGGTGCTTACTAGTTGGTATTTCGGGGAAAACATTCAAGTCACTTAAGTGCTTAAATTTCTCTAAGTGCTGTGGATTCAATTAAATGCTGTAGATTTCTCATCTCATCTCCCATACAAGGGGGACAATAATAAACTCTGTTTTTCTTACCTCTGAGAACTGCTCTGACTCTCTAATTAGAAGAATGTATTTTAAATTGCATTGCAAATTATAATATGCTCTAGAGGGGCACCTGGGTGGCTCAGCGGTTGAACGTCTGCTTTTGGCTCAGGGCGTGATCCCAGTGTGCTGGGATCGAGTCCCACATCGGGCTTCCTGCATGGAGCCTGCTTTTCCCTCTGCCTATGTCTCTGCCTCTTTCTCTCTGCGTCTCTCATGAATAAATAAATAAAATCTTAAAAAATATATATATAAACTCTAGAAATATCACAGGATCTGGCCCACTGTAGATGTTCAATGAAATTTGTTGTGAATAAATCTCAATAAATATTTGTCAAATAGTTAACAAATGTAAGATAGTATTACTTAGTATTTTTACTTTTTCTTTTTTCCCCTCCACCTACTTTCCATGAAGAAAGGCAGGAATATTTGTATTACTCATGGGAGTGATCTATATATATAGAATGTATATGGAAAAAGAACTGGTGGCTTAGGCATAAAATCAAATTTTATTCAGCTGCCATTGCTATTGATTTTCTGAAATACAAACCATTGTTATTACCACTAGTGGTGTTTATTATTATTATTATTTATTATTATTTTTTTTAATGATAGTCACACAGAGAGAGAGGCAGAGACACACAGGCAGAGGGAGAAGCAGGCTCCATGCACTGAGAGCCCGACGTGGGACTCGATCCTGGGTCTCCAGGATCGCGCCCTGGGCCAAAGGCAGGCGCCAAACCACTGCGCCACCCAGGGATCCCTATTTTATTATTTTTTAAAGATTTTATTTATCTACTCACCAGAGAGAGAGTGCGCGGGCGCGCACGCGCGCGCACACACACACACACACACACACACACACACACACGGGGGGGGGGGGGCAGAGACACAAGCAGAGGGAGAAGCAGGCTCCAAGCAGGGAGCCCGATGCGGGACTTGATCTCGGGACTCCAGGATCATGCCCTGGACCGGAGGCAGGCGCTAAACCGCTGAGCCACCCAGGGATTCCCCCACTAGTGGTGTTTAATATTTGTTAACTACTGTTCTTTTTATCTGTCCTGGCTATCAGATACTTTGCATATCCTCCCTTAGTATTCATTTTAAAATGAATTAATATGTTTCCTGTGTCTCCAATTAGATTTTTCAGAGACAATCTAATGGAAAGTTCTTGGATTTAAAATTAGACAGATCTGGGACCACATCTTGGCTTTACGATTCCAGGACCTTATGACATTAGGCAAATCACTTTACCTTTCTCATTTTCAGTTTATTTTTCTAAAAAATAAGGAATTCATTTATGGAGTGCCTGCCATATGGACAGTGCTCTTTTAGGTATTTGAATTACTTAATTTGTATCATAGCAACCTGGCAATACAGATATTATCCCTGTTTCACAGGCAAGAAACCCGATACTCAGAAAAGTAGAGTAACTTGCCCAAAGTCATAAAACTGGTATTCATCATAGTCAGGATTTTCACCTGAAGTATTTCATTATAAAGCCTGTGTCTTCACTAGTATCTCAGAAAGTGATTAGCACAGTTCTGGGGACCTAGTGAACAATAATTAAAGTTCTTTCTTAGGATACTGTTAATGTACAATTTTTTAGCACTTGGCATTTTTCCCTGCACTTAGTAGGTACTTCTTCACTAATTGTTTATTATCTCTGTCTATGCTGCTGTTCTTTTATTCAATGATTGTTGACTTTCTAGCCAAAGGGAAAGGACAGTTCCAAACCAGAGTGAATCTTAATGCTGCCTTGGTTGAGGATATAATCAACTTGGAAGAGGTGGATGAAGAAATGAAGTCTGTGATGGAAGCACTCAAAGATAATTTCAATAAAACTATCAGTATAAGGACCTCACCAGGTTAGTGACTGAACCAACGTTTTGGAGAGGGGCATAGTGGAAAGATCATGACTTTGGCAGAGCTGGGTTTCAGTCCCAGTTTTGTTACTTACTTACTAACTGGTGACCATGGACAGTTACTTTACTTTTCTGGTCCTCAGTTTCCTTGTCTAATTCCTACTTTGTATCTTTGGGGTGGGTATTAAAATAAATACAGAATGGTTGGAGCACAGTGCCTGGCTCATAGTTAACAGTAATACCTGATTCATCCATTTAGCAAATATTTGTCTACTCTGAAGTAAGTATTATGCTGGTACACAGTGGTGAACAAAAAATAGGCATAGTCTTTGCTCTCATGGAATTGCACTCTCAGAAAATGGGAGTTTTATTATGGTTATGCTATATAAACATTTTTGGGTATTTAATCTCACAGTAAATCTTTGGTCTGATTTTTCCGATTTATCCTATTTGACCATTCTTACGGCTTTCTGGGAACCAAGTGGCTGCAAACCTATCCATCTGAGGCATATCTGTACCCCTGAGTTTGACCAGGAAGATTCTGTTTGGGTTAATAACTTCCTGAAAGTGGCTTTTCTAAGTGGGAAATGTCAGAACTGTCTAGGAGAACTGTTTGCAGATGTGATGGAAGAAGTGAGTTGTCAGCTAATGGTGCAGGCAGGCAGGAAAAATCCAATTGCTATTAAATTGGCCTTTTGGAAATTGTCATCATCCTAGAGTCAAGCCTGAGACCCCCTCTGAAGTTATCTCTGGGAGCTTGGGCTGCTCCCACTCACATCTTGGTTGGGATAGTTCCTAAGGAAACTAGAAAATATTTTGTGAACTTGTTCTTAAGAAAACCAAGTGAAAAATATACAGCTCCATTTATAAACACCAGGAGAAACATACTGAGTTCAGAGAGACGAGATCCTATGTGAAATCAGAAGACCATTCCGTCATTTGTCAAACTTTGGACTGGGGCATTTCTGCCTTTGCTGGCAGTAGAGCGTGCCATTCAATCTCTCCCAACTGTTTATTTTAAACTTGCTTATTATTTTAGGTATGAAACTGATAAAGTGCTTTGTCTCCCCTGTGCTTTCTGGCCTGTTAACATTCTGCAGCCGAAACCAGAGAGCAGTTTGAGAGGAGCTCAGGGAGAAATGTGATACTTAAAATTAGCCAGCAAGCTCCACTCTTGTTGAACTTAAAAAGATGATGGGCCTGGAAAGAGGTAGGGAGTGTAATTTGTTAAATGTTAACCTCTGAGAAAATGAGGGGCAGAAATGAGGCTGAGGGAGATTCTCGCTGGGGACAGATTGAGGGAAAAGGATTTGATGCATTATGTCGATATGTATTTAGGGAATGGGAACCACCACAATTGCATACTGAAAAGCCCATGTTGCAACTTCTGTGGCAAAGGATCTTATGGCAAATCAGGAAAGCTGAACTAAGATCCATTTTCAAAAGGCCTCCCATTGGTATTTCCTCTTTGCCTCCTTCTCTTCAGGGTTATGTTTGTGTAACGTTCTCCGTAGAACTTGGGGCCATGAAGAGACTGGGTGAAACTGAACTTAGCCAGTCTTCTGCGTGCCAAATTTTACATATCCTCTTTCATTACTATCTGAACCAGCAGGCACTTTTCCTTTCACACCTCCAACTGTCTACCAGCAATTTCTATCTCTGAAGAAGTTGATTGCTCTTAATAGTTGTCTAAGGTATAGATTTATTCATGTGTTTGTTCTTACCCTTTTCCATTCATTTGTCCATCTACACACTTATGTATTCACCAAAATGTTATTGAGCACTTATACTGTGCTGATTAATAGATGCTGTAGATACAGAAAGAAAAGACATTGTTCCTACCTTCCAAGAGCCTAGAGCCTAATGTGAAGGAATAGACAAGTAAACCAAGATGGACAAAACCATATAGCAAAGCAGAATGGTGAAGACCATGCCTTCAGAGTTCGCCAGACCTGGGTTGAATATAGGCTCCGTTATGAAGAACTGTTGTGACCTTGGACAAGCTACCATTTGGTCCCTCGTTTCTTCATCCATAAAGTAGTGCAACTATTGCATAGTCATTGTGAGAATGAAAGCAAAGACATTATAGAAAGCATTTAGCACAATGTCTTCTCATAGGAAATATTCAGCAAATACTAATTATTATAGAAGGGTACATAGGGTCCTTGGGGCTCATAAGGGCATTTGTAATGCAGCCTAGAGGTCAAATAAGGTTTCTGAGATTGGATGTTATTATATCTGAGTGTTAAAGAATGAGCAGGAGTTAACTGAGCAGAGAAGGGCATTCTCTGTCTCTCTCTTTTTTTTTTTTTTTTTTTTTTTTTAGATTTTATTTGTTTATTCATGAGAGAGGCAGAGACACAGACAGAGAGAAGCAGACTCCCTGCAAGGAGCCCCATGTGGGACTTGATCCCCGGACCAGGATCATGCCCTGAGCTGAAGGCTGATGCCAACTGCTGAGCCACCCAGGTGTCCTGAGCATTCTCAATAGAAAGAAAAATATATACTCAGAGTCCTGAGGCAAGAAAGAGAAGATTATATTAGAGAAATTGGAAGTAGAATAGTTTGGTTAAAACTGAGGCGAAAGTCAAGAAATAATTTAACATTTACTGGGCACTTGTATATGCCAGGATAGTTACAAATGCTTTCCAGAAACTCTTTCACTGAATCCTCATAACAACCTTATGAGAGAAGTACAATATTTATGTTACATCTAGATATCAGGACACAGGTGCCAAAAGGTTGAGGGGATCTGCCCAGGGTCACACAATCAGGCGGTGGCAGAGTTGGTACTTGAACCCAGATTATTGGTCTCTGAATCATGGAGATTTATACCATTATATGTCCTGGACTCTTCCAGATTGAAGCCAGTGGTATCAATAACCTCCTGTCTTGCAATGACATTGAATCTGGTTGAATACTTCAAGTCAAATCTTTGGGCCATAGTAAAGTACTACGTTATTCTAATAACAGTTTGCTGGGACAACACCCAATTTGTCTAAAGGGACCCCTCTCTGCCTTTCTCTTTGTGTCTCTGAATAATCCATTTATGGTTGGCCATCCTGGTTGATGGTAAAGAAGTCCTAATTCTATCAACATTTCAGAGCTCTTTCCAGTACATGACACTGCTGCTCCTGTGAAAGCCCCGTGAGCAGTTTTGCCACATTGATAAGGAGTCCCTGGATCTTAGCTGAATCTGAATTAGGTAGGGACTTGGGTGTGGGGCTGGTGGAATTCCTTCTGAATTCTCAGACTTTGTGACTTTGCTTCTAGGATCCCTTGACCGGATCACTGTGGTAACTGCTAATGGGAAGCTTGCTCTAAACCAGATTGGCCAGATTTCCATGAAGTCGCCACACCTGATTTTGGTGAATATGGTCAGCTTCCCAGAGGTGAGGTGGCTTTGCCCATAAAGGATTCTTCTTCATGGTCTCTTTTGGAATGGAGGAGGCTGGGTCAAGTCAAGAGGATGTATTCCCTCCAGTTTGGGATGAAACAAGAGAAGGCATGATAAAGGGAACTTAAGGATTTAAGGAAAGCTCTCTTCCTGTTTCTAAATTCCTTTGCAGTTAAACTCAAACACTAAAAGACCAGGCAAGTAATTTGAATACTGAAAGAGTCCATCTAAGGAAAACAATAGTGGCAATGCAGTGATTGGCACTTAGCCAAATGGAAAGGACTGGGGTTAGTGGGAGAGCTTGCGCCCTGTCTGAAGGGAGCAGCCTCTGCCCAGCTTCTACTGATCCTTGCCAGGCAGAAATGTACACCTGGTAATCAGTGTTATTTGATATTAAGGTTTTTGTTTCTAGAAGAAGTCAGTAACTCACATTTTATATAAGATCTTTGTTAGGGGCACCTGGGTGCCTCAGTCAGTTAAGCATCTGCCTTTGGATCAGGTCATGATCCCAGGGTCCTGGGGTTGAGCCCCACATTGAGGGGGTGGTCCCTGCTCGGTGGGGAGTCTGCTTCTCTCTCTCCCTCTGTCCCTCCCCCTGCTGTGCTCTTTCTGTCTCTTGCTCATTCTCTCAAATAAAATCTTAAAAAAAAAGATCTTTGTTTAAATGTTGATAATTGATTCACTTTTTTTTTGAAGACTATGAAACAAAACATATTAATGGGCCATATTTGGTCCATGGGCCCTCAGTTTGTGCCCTTTGCATTAACATGTAGAGCAGACCCTCAGGAATTCATATTCCTTTCTGGAATAATCATTGTAGAACTACACAGAGCACGGAGCTTCCAAGATGAAAGATGGTTTGCATTAGATCATTGCAACCTGGATGCTCTGATTTTAAGTCTAGTTGAGGAAGATAAATGGCTTTTTCCTTATTGGTTCAGTTGGAATTGACCAGATTGGAAGTCCTGGGAAATCTGGAACCTGGTCCCATCTCCCTTCAGGTGGCTGTTTGACCTCCATTTTCTTTTAAAGTATTTTATTTATTTATTTGAGAGAGAGAGAGAACAGGGGGAGGGGCAAAGAGAGAGGGAGAAGTAGACTCCCTGCTGAACAGGGAAGCCTGATGCAGGGTTCAACCCTAGGACTCCAGGATCATGACCTGAGCTGAAGGCAGATGCTTAACTGACTGATCCACCCAGGCTCCCACCCTGCCTTGCTGTTTTTTTTTTTTTTTTTAAGATTTTATTTGTTTATTCATGAGAGAGACAGGCAGAGACATAGGCAGAGGGAGAAGCAGGCTCCATGCAGGGAGCCCAATGTGGGACTCGATCCCGGGACCCCAGGGTCACGCCCTGGGCTGAAGTCGGCACTAAACCGCTGAGCCACCCAGGGATCCCTGATCTCCATTTTCTAATCTGTTAATATGCAGTGAAGGAATCTGAAGTACCTTTCTGTTCCAATGGTCTCTTTCAGTAGTTCTTTCCCAGAGACCAGAGTGAAACCTGTTGGATTAGACAGACTGGGTTAGAGGTATGAATAAGGGAAAGCCGTTGATAAGAACAAACTGTTTCAAGTTATCTAGGTAAGTTGGTGGGGACAGGTGACTTGAGGACCCTACTCTTCCGCCATCTTGCCCTGCCTCTGAACAAACTGTTTCAGAGGGCTACTGTAGCTAATGTTGCAGGCATACTTTGCAGGGGGCGGGGGGTGCTGTTACCAGTCCCCCATTCCATTTTTCATACCAGAGTGAACTTTCATAAATACATATTAGATTATGTCATTCCCATGTTTTAAATTTATCAGTGGCTTCATGTAATCTCTAAGAAAAAAATTATTGTGGCCTAGAAGGCTTTGCATTATGATATGACCCTTGCCTGTCTCTCATCTCTGTAGTTTTATGCCACTGTCATCCCTGTACACTGCTCTTGGCCCACTGGCCTTTCAGTTCCTCAGACACACCATTTGTGTCCTCAGGGCCTTTGCACATGCCGTTTCCTTTGCATGGAACACTCTTGTGTGGCTAATTGCTACTAGTATTTTGGATTACAGCTTAAATGTCACTTTCTCAGGGAAGCCTTCCCTAATCTCAATCTAAATTATTTGTCCATGCTAACCTCTCTTATATAGCCCAGTTCATTTTCTTCATCACACTCGTCATTAACAGTGAGGCATTTGTTTACATCTTTATCTTCCATCTCACTTCCACTAGATTGTGAGCTTGGAATGTAGAAATCTTATCTAACTTGTTCACTGTGTCTGGCACCTATCACAGTGCCTGGCACATGGAAGCACTCAGTCAATTTTCCTCAAGTGGATGAATACTTGTCATTAGACTGATGGAAGGAGGGCATTCTTTCCTGGTGTAACTGAGAAGCAGAGAAATGGACAAAAAGAGAATCGTCAACTCTTTCCCTTCCTGGCTCCTTCTGAATGGCTGAGGCCTTCTGCCTTGTTCATCTGATCCCATAGGCACCAAGGGCCAATTTAGGGAATAGCCTCCTAATTACACAGCTTGAAGACCTCATCAGGCAGATTGCTTTTCAGAGCCAGCCACTTCTGTTATTAAATAGCAAATGGCATTCACAGAAGAAGCATCTGATTGGCCACCAGAGCATCTTATGAGGCAGGAGGAAGTATTAACAGCTTAATTTTTTTCTTAGGAAGTTGGAGTATATCTTCATTTTTCAACCAAAGCATCTTTGCCATTTCTCTTAAGTTGAAATCCTGTGAATTTTGAAGAAAAAAAAAAACCAAAAACCTTCATAATCATCTCAGTAGAGAGGTTCTTTACAAGGACAGAGTGAGGAAGTATGAGTTACATTGTCTTTTGAATTCCTTTATCTCATCTGGTGTATATATTAAACAAATAGCTCTAACTAAATATTTCCTTCCTCCAGTTTAGAAACTGTCCATTGAGTAACCAGGTTCCTAGCTTCAAAATGCTGAGCTAATCCCCTCTGTGTTTATATAATTCCTTTCTGTTTCACATGAAATTGGCTTTCTTTCCAAACCTGAGCATTTCTGTGTCATGCCATAGTGACACGATGCAGATTTACATGCATAATCTTTTCAAATGCATTGAAGACAGAAAACTGCATTGCATTTGTTTAACATGTGTCCTGCTTGATAAATGATACACACAGTTGCTGCCTTCCATAAACTTGCCTGCAGCTAGAGTTAATGATGGGAAAGGAAAGAAGGGAGTAAAAACCACAGCTTGATTTGAACAAGGCAAATGAGAAAAAAAAAAAAAATTGAACAGTCTCCTCTATTACTCTTGTAGAAGGAAGAAAGCTAATGTGTATTGAGTGTCTACTGTGTTGCCAGGCATTACTTTCTCGTATTTTTGTTCAGTGATCGACATAGGTCCTAAGATGAAGCATTATTTATTCCATTTTATAGATGAGGCTTGGAGAAGTTAAATATCTTTCCCATGTTTACACTGTTAGGATAGTCAAGATTTGAACACGGGTCTGTTTGACACTAAAGCCTGTGTTCCTTTCACTATTCCTACATTAATTCAGCAGTAACTTATTTTCTATGAGTTATTTGGTTCTATTTGAGGGGTTGGGAATTCATTGATGATTAAGACAGCCAGGATTAATACGCATCTGATAAATGGTTGAACGCTGTATCTGAAACTAATGATGTACTGTTGTCTAATTGAATTTAAATAAAAAATTTAAAAAAAAACTAGGGTTCCTGCCTTTACACATGACTTTTCACATGAGGGACTCATTGGGATATAGAAAATGGAAGGCCAGTAATTAAAATGGCCCTAGCAAAGTTGACTTGAACCTAGATTGTCAAAGTTCTTGTTCACCTATCTATGGAAGTTTTATCATCTTTCATCCTTTAATGTAGATTAGCTTAAGAATACCAATAGCAGACATTGTTAATTGATCATAGTACTCTTTATTGCCTGACCCTAGATGGAGCCTGTGAACTTTCTCCACACAGTACTCCAAGCAGCTACAACTAGTTGGTCAGTGCTACTGTTTAAGAACAGCCCATTTGCCCTGGGTCCTGATCAGCATCCCATCAGTAAGGGGGTACAGGCTGGGATGGAAGTGCAGTAGAAATATGTGCCTTTTTTTCTGCACCATGAGTAGTTGAGAAGCCATGTTGGTAAATAACTGATTCCTTGAATTTCTATATCATACTGTATCAAACAAAAATGTACATACTTAGATTTCCTCTTTTAATAGGTTTCTTGGCAAATGAAACCTCTGATTCACAATTTTTCTTTCACATATGAAAGGACACAGAAAAAGTATAAAATAAACTTTGGGGGGGGGGATATACATGAAGTAAAAATGAGGAGTTGGGTTTTTCTAACAGATCTGAGCCAGTTCATTAATCTACGTATTCAACATACTTTTACTGAGCATTACCATGTACCTGGCACTGTAATTGTACTGGGAAGATGTACGTATTGAGGCAGCTTCAAAACAGCAGTGGGTGTTCCCATGTCTAGGGGAGAAGGTTGTATGGGAAGACTGGGTGGACCAGATGACCATAGGCAGTTGGTGGCAGTGGGATGTGACAGGTGAGTTCTCCATGAGAAGCTTCAGAAGAGGGGGACTCAGAGACTTGAGATCAGGCTACTTCTTCAAAGTAGAGATTCTCCCTTTATTGCTAACTTTAGAAATGGAGGAGAAATTTTTTTCTTTATCCAGCTCTTTTATTTACCTTGACCATTGCCTTTATACACCAGGCCAATTCCAAATTATTTTTGGCTACTTTATTTATTCATTTATTTTTAAGATTTTATTTTTAATCTCTGCACCCAATGTGGGGCTCAGATTTTAATCTCTGCACCCAATGTGGGGCTCAGATTTACAACCCCAAGATAAGAGTCACATGTTCCACCAACTGAGCCAGCCAGGCTCCCCTATTTTTGGCTATTTAAAAAAAAAAAGGGATCCCTGGGTGGCGCAGCGGTTTGGCGCCTGCCTTTGGCCCAGGGCGTGATCCTGGAGACCTGGGATCAAGTCCCACATCGGGCTCCCGGTGCATGGAGCCTGCTTCTCCCTCTGCCTGTGTCTCTGCCTCTCTCTCTCTCTCTCTCTCTCTCTCTCTCTGTGACTATCATAAGTAAATAAAAAATAAATTAAAAAAAATCAGATTCTCCATGCCTCAATTACTGAATACATTGAGCTAACAGATCTGGAAGAAAATTCGAAATAATGTCATTGGGTGGAGAGTTGAGGTGCCAGGAGTCTCCTCCTAACTTTGCCAGTAACTGGAAGTATGTGGATGAGGTCCTCCCCACCATTGCTCTTGGCTATCAGGGAAGATGGTATATGTGTGCAGGGTCCCTATATACATATGGAAGGGACTGTACCTGATTATGTCAGAGATTACTTCCAGCTTCAATGGTCTGTCATTAGAGGTACCATTTTAAGAATTTACTATTTTAAGCAGTGGTCAGTCACACTTATATTCTGTGTACAGTCTCTCAAAGGAATGATTCATCTGCATGTGGACTTCCAATTTATCTTTTTGATCTTATGGTAACACTGTATGTCCCTGTAGAATTAAAGTCATGTTAGGATGAAATGGATAAACTTTGTAGGCACACCCTCAAAAATCAAAATCAAACCTAGAAAAGTAGAATAGGTATGCAGTAAACCCCATTCATTAAACCGCAAAGTCTAGGGAGGAGCTTAAGGCCAAGAACTGGCCCTGTGAATCCAAGTGAAGTAGATTGGCTTTGGTCACACCTAAAATTCTTTACAAATGTCAGAGGCCTTTTTTTATGAATTCCACATTGTCATGCCAATGAAAGTATCTTTCTTCCACACTACTTTATCTTTTAGGATTTCATAGCAGGGATGCCTGGGTGACTCAGCGGTTGAGCTCAGGGCCTGAATACCCGGGTCCTGGGATCGAGTCCCATATCGGGCTCCCCATGGGGAGCCTGCTTCTCCCTCTGCCTATGTCTCTGCCTCTCTCTCTGTGTGTCTCTCATGAATAATCTTTTTTTTTTTTTTTTTAAAAAAAGGATTTCGGGATCCCCGGGTGGCGCAGCGGTTTGGCGCCTGCCTTTGGCCCAGGGCGCGATCCTGGAGACCCGGGATCGAATCCCATGTCGGGCTCCCGGTGCATGGAGCCTGCTTCTCCCTCTGCCTGTGTCTCTGCCTCTCTCTCTCTCTCTCTGTGTGACCATCATAAATAAATAAAAATTAAAAAAAAAAAAAAAGGATTTCATAGCAGGTGTAGTTCTACTGTTGCTTGAGGTGAGATGACCCACATGTTGAGAAACCAATGTACCATTGTACCATCTAGTTCAGTAGAGAGCAAGACTACTCAGAGAAGAGCCTGAAGGATGTCAGATTGGACAGCAGCGCATCAGCTGAGTGATGATATCAACCTAGCCATGTTTGGAGGATTTGTATATTCTTACCTTTATATAGGGAGTTTATATGATAAGGCCCCTTGCCTGGATGTCACTGTGTGTGGGGCACAGAGCAGGTTGCATTGTTCATGTTATCTCATTTAATCCTCTGTGAGGTCACAGTACCGCGTGGTCTCAGATTATAACATGGAGACTCAGAGAGGTCACGATCGTTGCCCAGGGTCACATGGTTAGGGGAGCTAGGACGTGGACTGAGATCTATCTGACTCCAGAGCCCAAACTGCCTTTCCTAGAGCACATACCCAGCAGAGACTCGTTGCTCATTCCAAAACATGAGTGAGGTTGGTGTGAGTGTAGATGCGAATGAGTTAAATTTATTTACTCATTCCAAATCGGCACTGGTATATTTTGAGTGTAAAATGTCAACTGGAATTTTTAATGTATAAAATCTTTCATCTGTCTTTACACCAATCTTTGCACAGACCAGCCCCCCTCCCTTGAGGATTTATTGTGGTTTTGATCTGTGTTGCCTCAAACCATTGAAATCTTTTCAAAGAAGCAGAGCTGTTTTCTTTTTATTTTTTCCTTCTCTTTGCTTTTCTTCCCTCCCGCAGTATACTGGTACCAGGAGTGGACATAGTTTGCTATTCAACTTGATCAAAGCACTCTACACCAATGTAACTTCCTGATCTTACTGGTAACAGAACTAAATGTTTCCATGTTCTGCCAAGATGGGTTGCCAGTTATCGACAGAGGGCTTGCATCTGGTAATAATTATTTACTAATTCTGTTTACCTTTTGATCTGGTTTTCAGTGTACAGCTGCAGCTATCAAGGCTATAAGAGAAAGTGGAATGAATCTAAACCCAGAAGTGGAAGGGACACTAATTCGGGTACCCATCCCCAAGTAAGTTTGGTTAAAATTCACATATTTTGACGGAATGGGGCATTTGTCCTTGGAAGGACATAAATACGTTAAGACTGTTAGACTGGTAGTATACCTTACCTGTACTCTTGTCTTGGCAAACTCCAACATCTTTTGAGATCCAGTTTACTGATTCAGGAATATTTATTGAGTGCCTACTAGGGGCTGGTGATGCAGCAGTAGACCTGACAAAGTTCTTGTCTGAGTGTGTGTACATTCTGTTTGAGAAGGTAGGACACATAAATAATAAAGTCATTCACATAATGAAATACTGCGAGGAAAGAAAAGATGATGGGACACAGTAGAGTGCCTTGATGAGGGTGATGGTGGAAGGACAACTTCAGCCTGGGAGGACTCTTTAAGGAGGTAACATTTTTGCTGAGCTAAATGGTGGGGAAGAACTTTTCAGGCAGAGTGAACAGCCAGCACAAAGGCCACAAATCAGAAAAGACCTTGACACTTGTGATCTCCAACTCATGCTCCTCAGAGAGTTACTTTTTACATTGGTCCTTGCTTGTTGAAACTTTTAGGCATTAGAACAGAATATTGTTAATTATGTAAATAGAACTTAGGGTTTTGAGTGAATAAAAATGTATGTTTTGTTTTGTTTTTCATTAAAAAGGAAAAGAAACACTCCAAGGTCTTTAATAACAAGACCTTGGCATGTTTGAGAAAAAGAAAGCCAGAGTGTCTGAAACTTAGGGAGGGTGGGAGAGAAAACGGTGGGAAAGGCTTTTCAGGCTGCGGTTAGGAGTGTGGGCTTTCCTCTCATTGAAATGGGAAGCCACTGGAGGGGTTTAAACGGAGTGTTCTGATCAATGTTGACTTCTTGGGGGTCTCTCTGGCTGTGAATTAACAAATGAAATGTGGAGGGACAGAGTAGTCACAGAGAATAGTCAGGAGTCAGCTGTGATGGTCCAGGTGAAGAAGGAATCTTTGCAGATTCCACAGCATATAGAAGTAGTTTCTCCTTCTGTCACCTCATAGCACTATTATCTTTAAGTCCCTCTTCCTGCACAGTGTGCCTCACAGACAGCAGGTCCCAAATCAGCATTGAATTAACTCATTTAGCCATTCAACACATATTTAATAAGTACTAACTACATGCCAGACACTTTCCTGGTGGCTTGATACAACAGTAAACAAAATAAACAACAAAAGGCTGCTGTCCTCCTGGGCTTACTTTCTAGTTGAGTAGGCACAGTAAACAAAGAAAAATAAATACATGATGAGATGTCAAGTGATGATAAGGACTATGGAAAAGAATAAGTGGGGTGAAGGGATAGGGAATTAGCGGGAGTTTATTGTAGATAGGAAGGTTCAGAAAGGAAGTGACTGTTTTTTTTAAAGACTTATTTGAGAGAGAGGGAGAGAAAGAGAGCACACATGAGTAGAGGGAGGGGCAAAGGGAGAGGGAGAGAGAGAATTTCAAGCAGACTCCGTGCTGAGTGTGGAGCATGAAGCCTGAATTGGGCTTGATTTCACAAACCTGAGGTCATGACCTGAGCTGAGATCAAGAGTCATATGCTTAGCTGACTGAGCTACCCACATGCCCTGAAAGGAAGTGACATTTGAGCAGAGACCTAAGTGAAATGAATGAATGAAGCCTCAAGTAACTAGAAGGGAAATAGATTCTTTTCCTTAAAAAAGGCTAAACACCATCCTGTATTTATATATGTTTAAACAAGCTCTTTTTTTTTAATTTTTATTTATTTATGATAGTCACAGAGAGAGAAAGAGAGAGAGGCAGAGACATAGGCAGAGGGAGAAGCAGGCTCCATGCACCGGGAGCCCGATGTGGGATTCGATCCCGGGTCTCCAGGATCGCGCCCTGGGCCAAAGGCAGGCGCCAAACCGCTGCACCACACAGGGATCCCCTGTATTTATAATGTTTACCTCACTTCTCACATAATCCCTGTGATGTATGTTTATTACTGGTATGGAAATTTAGACTCAAAGAGGTAAAATAATATCTCAGATCACTCACCTTATGCTAAAGCTGGGACCTAAGGCCAGGTTTAGTTGATTCTAAAGCCTCATGATATACCATGCTAGCAATAAGAATTAATTTCTAACACTGAACGTCCAGGAACTTTCCCCACTGAACTTTTATTCCCCACTTTATGGCTAGAAATTGCCTGTCTTATTCCATCATTCTTTGTATTCTGTAAATCAGAATTAATGCTGTGCTTTGAAATCAGATGAATTGGGAGCAGTAGAACCTAGTGTTTAAGAACCAAGTAGACTTAGGTTCAAGTCTAGTACTTGTTTGCTTGGTTAGTTCATTAATTTGCTCAGCAACTTTTTACAAATGTACCATGTGTCAGGCTCTGTGTCAGGGGCTGGGGATATACAAACCTAATGTTTGTCTTTGTGGAGCTCACAGGTTGTGTCCAGTCCCCTTTTTATACCATCTGCAGTTTATCTGTGGAATTTACTATTACCCACAGTTTACAGATGAAAACTTTGAAATTCAAAGAAATTAAGGGACTTGCCCAAGATCACATGGCCAGTAATGGGCAGTCATCCTTCTCAGTTTTTCTGTTACTAGACTACATACTTGTTCTGCTGCACTGCTTTATAGATGGGTCATAATGACTGTGGAAAGTGTATTCATGGACATCAGATGTTAAGACTTGCAAGTGGAATGGATAGCAGTCAGCAGGTTTGCTTTTAGTACTTGCCTTTTTGTCTGTGAAATCTTGGAAGAGCCACCTAACCTCCACGAGCCTCAGCTTCCTTGTATACCAGATGAAGAGATTGGTCTCCGTGGCCTGCCAGATCCTTCTGGAACTTGAAAAGTCTGTGGATGCTATGAATTTATGCTGCTAAAGGCTCATTGCTGCCTTGGGTTCTTCTGAGAGTGGCCTGGTTGTGTATCCTATTCTTCTTGCAAAGATCCAGTTGACATAATGTGCTCCTCTGCAACTTGAGAGGAGTTAGTGAATGTATACTGTATGTAAGTTTGAAGGATCAGTGAGTTTTATTTAAATTCCCAAAGACTTGGGGATCTGTTACATTCTATTTTACATTATTTTATGTTAGTTAATGGGAGTAATCTAAGAGAAAGTTGACAGACCAAAACCGTCTGCTCCTGCAAATCTCATTTTTTATATACTTACTTCCCTTTGACAAGGTGGTAAGGTCATGAGGCCCCTTACTGAATTATAAATTTGGTAGTTTTCCAGATAAAAAATGAATGATCTGTTCTTCATTATGGAGGCTGTGTCATACGAGAGGATAAAGGTTGATTTAGACATAGAGGACCAAGGTTTTTATTTGATTTTGGCAGTAACTCCCATATGACTGACTGTGCACGTCGCCCTAGCAGCCTGGGGCCTTCTAGTTCCTCACTTGTAAAATAAGTGAAATAATACATAATGATATATAGAGATTTGGTGGGATTAGTAGAGAAAATAGATTAAGTTGTATGATCTCCTTAGAGGAAAGAAACTATATAAGATACTGATATTATTTCAGTAAACTTAATTTTCTCAATATACATAATTATAGTTTAGGAAGAAGGAAGGAATTATAGTTTAGGGAACTATATGGAAGTTCCTATGGAGGAAGGGAACTGATATGAGTACAGACTATGTCCCAGGACCTGTTAGGGGCTTGACATAGACGGGGAAAGTGAGAAAGTATTATGGTTAAATTTCTGCATTGGTACCACAGAAGCATGCAGTTGAGTTCATCCTGTCCTGCTTTTTAGCTGTGTGCTGATGGCAACTGTCCCCACCTCTCTGAGTCTCAGGGAGGTCATCTGTAAAACATTTACAGGATCTGCCTTCTGAGATTTTTGGGAGGTTTCAGTGAGATAGTGTACACAAAGATTTTGATGCTTAGCCAATATCCAGTGAATGCTAGCAAATGTTTCTCCATTCTCTTTCATAAATAGGCAGGAACACTGTTCCCTTCTAAGGATGACGACACTGAGATCCCGAGAAGTGGGGCCTAGTTCCGGGTCAGATAGCTGGTAATTGGCAAAGCTGTGAGGGGGAAAATAATATGCTAAACCTTCTGTTAGGAGGCTAGGAGATGTGAGGGAACCAGAAACATACATTCCTAGGATTAGTTTCTGTTTATAAAATGTCATGTTTAGGGGCATCTGGGTGGCTCAGTGGTTAAGCATCTGCCTTTGGCTCAGGGCGTGATCCCACAGTCCCCGGATCAAGTCCCATGTCAGGCTCCCTGCGGGGAGCCTGCTTCTTCTCCCTCTGCCTATTTCTCTGCCTCTCTGTGTGTGTGTCTTGTGAATAAATAAAAACTGAAAAAAAAAAAAAGTTAAATTTCAAGTTTAGTTCTAGAAAAGTTTGCCTTTCCTTATTGATCTTGATTCTTCCTCTGCCTAATGATCGATCAGTCTGCAAGGTTTCTGGCCTTAATTCTGGCTGCCCAGAGCTAAGTTTTATTTGCAGTTGCAGCAGATCTCAGCGAGTACCTCATCCTCATTATAATCCTCTGATTCTTATATTCTTATTTAAATGAGTCTACTGAGTATGTGACTCTTACTAGATCTTTTGGGGAAGTAGGGGGAAGATAAATCCTAAATCCACAACGGGCCTGACTGGGAGCCTTTCCCAATCTTTCCCAGCCTCCGGGAATACAGTCCCGTGTGGCTATGCACAGGTTCTCCTCGTGACTGTCCTCAGGAAAGGTACCACTGAGCCTCAGAGGCTGGGTTCTGTCTGTACTCACAGGCAGTGTGTACAGCTCTTGTTTTCTCCTCTGTCCAGTGTTCTTTCATTTAGGGAAGTCAGCCTACTGGATAGAGTCTTTGAACATTCCTGTTAATGTGTCAGATCCAGTGAAATAATTCCTTCTGCTTTTCTTACCTATTTATGTAATCACATTGTGGTACTGTTTATTAACCACCTGCTCTGCAGGTGTGGTGCCTGAGGGTGCTGTGCTGAATGCCTTACAGTTTTTCCCCAAATTCTCACAACACTCTGATGAGGTCAGGAGACGATTCTAATGCC